TGATCTTTCTAAATGGGCCTTGCGAGTAACCACCGACTCGATAATCGTGTTGACCACCCATAAGAAAGCTTATTCATTGGCAAACTACCATAAACAACTTTCACCAAACACAATGTTGCTTAAACAAATTCCGCAGAGTGTACTGAGATCTTCTGAAATTTTTGTTGATTCAATTAGAAAATTTATTGAGAGTTTATCATACTTTATGATCACACCGTGGATTATAAGGAGGATGCCGGGCGTGAGAGGGCACGTCGAGGAACTTCTTCGAAATAAAGAGTGGCTACATGAAGAATTACTGAGAATCATTCGGGAGAGGCGAAAGGAGATTGAAGGGATCTGTGAGAACGAGAGCAAATTAGGAGGCGCAGAAAATCACATGACCGCAGAGGAGAAAGAAAAAGGCGTTTATAATAATAATAATGAGAATAGCGAACTGAGAGCAGATCTATTGACCATGCTTTTGACGGTTAATACAAAGTTTGATATTACCCAGGGCATTGGAAATGAGATAAACTGCGATCCTATAACTGACGATGACATCCAAGAAGTTATGGTTGAAGTCTTTGCCGGCGGAATTGAAACGGTCATTATAAAAAATCGCTGTCCTATGATTTAACTTTGAGCCTTTGCAAATTTCCTCATTTATTTTTTCTTTTTCATTAATGTAAAATTTTCAGACTTCAAGTACGATTTGTCACATCGTTTATTTTCTCGAACATTTTCCGAAGGTCAAGCGACGGCTCCTGGAAGAATTAGAATCCGTATTTGGTCGGGATCCCAATTATCGATTCAAGTTTGAGGATCTGGGAAAACTCGAGTATTGCGAGGCAATTATCAAAGAAGGTGAAGTGAGATAAAATAAGAATAATAATAATTTTTTTTTTTCGTAAGAAAACAAACACACGCACGGCACATTAAATTAAATAAATTATCATCGACCCTATATAACAACTTCTCTATAGTATTACGGTTTTACCCTACCGTACCGGTAAACTTCCGAACAAGCATCGAACCGTGCGAGATCGGTGGTTACAAATTTCCCGCGGGCATGCAATTCTTTCTTAACTTGGAATCCGTGTTCTCTCATCCCGCTCACTGGACGAATCCTCGCGAATTCAATCCCGACCGATTCCTCAACAACCCCATCGACCCCAAACAAAAACAATCGGTATATCATAATTTTGGCGCGGGGATGCGCATTTGTCCCGGTAAAAACCTGGCCATGATGCAACTGAAGGGATTCATGGTGATGCTATACCGTAAATGGGAAATCGAATTAGTCGATATGAAGTCGCCGCTCAAGAGCCAGTACACTCTTTCTAGGCATTGTGAATGTCTTGAAGTAAGAATTAGAAAAAGGGTTTAAGATTTGGAACAACAGATATACCAACCTTTTTTTTTTTTTTTTGGTATTGCATTTGTAACAAATGTAAAGAACGCCGGAGGGGGTTGTGAATAATAAAATAACCAGAAAAGATAAATATCATTGTAATGTTTGTTTGTTACGGGAACATGATTTAATCATATAATTCTGACACCAGGAGAAAAAACTTTTCGTGCAGGGATCTATATTTAAGAGTATTGCAGCTTTTTTGCAAAATATACTTGACTGTATGCAATGATGGAATGGTCGCGTACAATGATTTTTATCCAAGTTGTCTCAATGCTGTCTAACGATATATGCGTAAATATAAAGTATACGTATACAGTGTACATATATAGCATATACGGTATAATATTTTCATATCATGCACCAATATATATATATCTATATACAGTATATATAGTATACTGCATATATATATATATTTAACATAATAATCTCATTTTACGATTGTCTCCATTGGAAATGTGTTATGATTTTCACAAAGAACAACCTTTTTGGTAGTGACCGTAGATCTTTTATCAATTTCGAGGGAAACTTTTGACAAGCTCCGAATTTGGTTTTCAATAAGAAAAAAAAAACGAAAAAAAACGAAAAAAAAAAAACCGGTTGAAAATGAAGAGAACGAGATTCAGAAAAAGGATTTCTTAGAAACGATGCGTTAAACGAATGCACATTGTACATTTTTCGAAATACGTTATATTTGTAAACCCCATGTTTTTGTTATTCATGCATTAGCATAACCCCAGTTTTTTACGTGACAACGTGAAAGGATTAGATTCGGGCAACAAGGTCGAAAAGGAATCGGCAATCGGTTTATGAAAGTTACAAAGTAGCTTATTATTTTGGTGGATCATACTTACGCGCGTAATTAATAAAAGCATAATTAGATTTATTTCCTCAAACATCGGAAGACGTTTCGTCTTGAATTTGTTTGGAGAAAGATTTTCGTTCTATAACTCCGAAAGTGGAAACCTGCATATCACAATCATATTCAGAATTTTTTTCGGGATCATTGATAAATTCAGGTTCAGTTTGGTATGTGAAAGAGTGATGATTTTCGGAAGTCCCTCTTAATTTAGGAATTGAGAGTCCAAATCCAGTCATTACAAATATGGTGAATGCGTAACTAAAAGTTTCCAAATAGATGTAGTTCGGTAGATTTCCATCAGCGACAATGAAAATACGATACGTGCCCGAGAGTGTTAACGAGACCAAGTCCAACGTAAATATCACCACTTGGTAAAATAAATATCTCAATGCATTTATATTGTCAACACTGCTGGGGATGGCTGCTTTTAAGGCACCACATAATTTGCGATAAAAAATCCCTTCGGAGATGATGTAGTATATCATAAATAGTGACTCCAATGCATTATTCATACTGTGAAATGCAAGTATTGCTGGACATTTAGGATCATTTTCGGATCCTTTGCATTGAGTGATATCATAAAGATTGACAGCCAATGATATAAGCAGCTCAACCGTGCGTATCGTAATGATGATATGATGGATTTTCGGATGTGACTTGTATGATTCGCTGACGGAATAACACCTCCAGAACGCGAGGTAAAGTAAGATCGGCTTTACCACCAGATATGTGAAATCGTTGATTATGCTTGTCCAGAGGTACCAATCTATGGCGAATTTACGCGAGCTGGTTACCGTCATAAGGATGACGGCAAACTCATTGAAGAACATCGCTGCGTTAATAACTGGAAAGGGAATTATCTTCGATGGTGCGGTACGCATTATGATCATTCGCATGATGGAATGGCAAGTGAGTGAAATACTGGTTCCAATAAGCACCACTCCAAAGATATTTTGAACCTTTAGAGGATTTTCAAAGTCTTCCATAACTTCTTCAAAAAAAAGAAAGAAAGAAAGAAAGAAAGAAAACAGTGATTTTTTTTAGATTTTATTTTGCTTTTCTTTTTTCTTTCTTTGATAATTCTCTTCAGAAAAAGTTCATGATCATGGACCGGAGGGCGAAAGGACAGGAAAGGATGTACGCATAATGGGACTACAACGATGCTGACTTGAGGTGTTATTATATTTCCCTGAGCCTAATTATTGTCAAGTATTGCACGCACCTATCGTCACGGTTAATTATGACATATTTGGCTTAGTGTCAATCACGTCAAATTTCCGCTGCATTGATGAATTTATGCATGCAGCAATATTATTATATATATATATATATATATATTTTTTGCACACCAAAGATAATCTTGCCGATTTCCCAAAAACCTTTTTAATGCAATCTAAGCTTTTTCTTACGTCATTTGGCCATTGGATTTGAAAGCGGTAACGCACAATGAATTTTTCCGAACACGCTTTGGTCATACAGTATTTTACCTAAAGTTTAACAGGTGACTTGGAAACGCATGCACATGCCGGTGCACAAGATCTATCAAAGGGAGAAGTTTCGATAATACCAGAAGATTCTTTTAAGAAAATTATTTAATTGCAGGTCTAGTAGCACGAAAAATTTTATTGTTGGACTAAAAAATAAAAAAAAAACTTGCGAGAAAATATTTTATAAACGATCTTTGATAACAGGAATGGCGATAAAGATAATCGACAATTATTGATAATGGCAGTAATTGCTTTCGAAAGTTTGAATTCATTTACGTATCATATTTTCATTATAGATTAATCATTAATCATTAATTATTTTGAATAATAAGAGGAATATTTACTGGACTATGTACAGGAAAACGGTGACAGTAAATTCACAAACTTAACAAGCGAACATATTGTGACACATGATGTAAGGGATTCAAAATTCAACAAAGCGATGTTAATTAATAGATGAGTGGGTATATTGCTATTTTTTAATAGTTTTGGTTTTAATATATTATAGATTTTTTATATATTTTTGATAGATAAACTGTCTTATTGGATTATTTACAGTAAAACTTGATCTTGTACGCAACTTTAGTAAAGGGTTTGGTTACAGCTAGCTTTTTTATATAACCTATAATAACTTTAAAACTTTTTGACTAGCGAATTTACTGTATTATTAAAATGATTGTTTATATGCTATACTGTATATCTTTACTTTAACTAGTCACAATATTAACTTTTTCTCAATAATTTCTAACATTTTAGTTTAAAAAAACACAAGTTATTTATAAATCTAAAATCAAGAATTTATAAAGTTAAAAATATATACAGTATTTGGCTATATATATAAATCTTAACTTTTTTTTTTCTCAAGTATAACAAGTATAACTATATGCTGTATGTGATAAAATTAATTTTAAAAACTTCAAAGGTAAACTTATGATAAAATTATTATATTCTTAATAGTAATTAATAAAAATAAAATTATTATATATAGTAAGATCAATAATTCAACCATATATATACTGTAATTATAACTATCAATTTACTCCCAATAATAATAATTAATTATAATCTATATAGTTTTTTTTTTTAACTTTTTTTTTATGTGCAATTATATTATTATAATATATTTTTATTGAGATATTAAATAAATATTTAATAAATTATAAAATTTTATATAATTATTAACTCATATTTATATATTATTAGCTAAAAATGTCACTATTTAAAAATATAAAAAGTTTACTAAATTGGTTTAAACTAAACATAATTAGGTTTTAATGAAAAACTTTAAATCAAATTTAAAATTTTTTTTTTTTTTTTTTTTTTTTTTTTGACGCTGGCTCAGCCTTGTTTTATTTTTATTTATGCAGTATTATTACAAAGAAAATTTCTAGGATATATTACCAGTCTACTACCAAACAAAACTCAATAGAGATAACCTCTCTTAGGAGGGACTCACCTTGCGGCTTGTTGCCACCCCTTTAGTGAGGACTAACCTGCCAAGGCTGGGCTAGTGCTAAAATAAATTTCTAAAATATAAAAGTTGTCTATAGAGTCTGTTATCCATTGTGTTATAAATTTGTTACCACGATTTTTATTAGTGATATATTTATACATTCATATAAGGCAACTGCCTTGGCTCAGCTACTTACATTACTCTTTTGTACAGGACTCTGTATATATACTAACAAGTACTTATACATTTGCTTATATTAGTAATCTATATACATGAGTAGCTATCTATATATTACTAACTATGTATGAGTACTACCTCATTGGAAAACCGTGCGATTCCTTCTTAATTCTTCCCAGACCAGTTTTATTAAGAGTAGTCTGGTTATCAGGATGTCGAATTTTCTTTATCCTGGATCCAGTTTTTGATCCTTCGGAGTGGTCCACAGATTTCTCCTCCTACCAAGGCCTCCTGATTGTTAAGTCTATGGGTCAATGCATAGACACAAGCTTAAAGTCTTGAAATGGGATAAGATCTTCAGTCAGTCCTTCTTCAGTGGCATGCAACCGGTTTAGGGATCTACTCTTCTTGTTACCAACAGATGATAACGTGGTCCTTATCAGGAATAATTCTACTCAGTTTCAGATAGGGACCTGATCACAATCTTTGTATAGACCATCCTGTATTGTGAAGATCTTGACTTTCAACGTAACACAATAAAAACCATTGATTATCTTGATCTGCACCAGCTATACTCAGAAATATTGGTTATATACGGTTAAGCTAATAGATGATTTGCCATATTCTACCTGCTTTTAGCTCAGGGGAATCACATTAGCCCCCTGGAGGATTTGAACCTGTATCTTGTGACCTAACCTATGGAGTACTAACCACTGCACTATTGACCCGTAGGTATCAAATTTAAAAAATAATATTATACTTTTCTAATAATTTCATACTTAACTTTTAACTATATAAATTATTGTCAACTATTTTATAAAAATAATAAATTATTAAAATATATTGAAGAAAAAAAAGAAAATAATTTAAAGTTCTTTTAAAAATTCTTAGTTTATTTAACAATTTCTTTTTGAAAGAAAACATTTGAAAAATCAAATCATTTTTATTTTCAAATAAAAAACTTCAAGAAAAATATTTAAAATTTTTATTTTATATATATATATTATTGCTTATTATATTATAAATATTAATATTATATTATAAAAAAAATTTTTAATCAAATTAAAACATAATAATCTTAATTTTAATTTAAATAAATTTAATAAGAAATAGAATATAACTATTTGTTTTATTTATTACTTGATTTTTAATATTAATTTTTTTTAAAACTTATACAATAATATAGTACTATTAAAATATATAAGTATAATCATTAAAAGCTTATTTATATTTAAAAACTAATACATTTTATATCAATTAATTATCTAGGGTTATAATTAAATATATATATATATATATATCAATTAATTATCTTTAAAAAATTAAATTAAATAAAATTCTTTAAAAAATTATTAAAATAAAAGTTTTAAAAAAGTATAAACAATTAAAAAAAAATAAATTTTTTTATTATAAACAATTTTTATAAAAATTTATTTTAAAGATAAAGAAATCTTTAAATACTTTACAATAATTCAAAAAAAACCTTTTTCATGAATCCTTTAACTATAGTATGTATAAAAAAGATATTCATAAAAAGTTTTTTTCATTTTTTTACTAATAAAGTCTTAATACTTTCATTAAACCAATTTGAATTATGACTTTAAAAGTTCTTTTTATTTTTCTTCTCTTATTTACAAACTATTTTATTCAAAAATTTAATTTTTAGTAATTATAAAAAATTAAGTAACACTTTTGATATCAATAATAATAAGAAAGTTTTCAAAAAAAAAAAGCATAATTAATTATAAAGTATTTAAAGATCTTTCTAATTTTAAAGCAAGAAATTATAAAGGTTTTATTATAGTAAAAAATTTATTTTTTTTTTAACTATTTTAATCCTTTTAAAGCTTCTGTTTTTACATTTTTTTGAAAAATTGTCTCTATCTTAATTTGATTTTAAATTTTTAATAATAAATTTTTACTAAAGATAATTTGCTAATACAAAATATATTAGTTTATACTGTAAAATATAAAAAAATCTTTATTGATTATACTTATATTCTAATAATATCAAAATTTAATCAACAACTCTTTTCTGTTTTCCTGTAGCGCAGTAGCATAAACCACAAAAACGCAAGAAAAAGTTGAAAAATAGAGAGGCCCAAAAGACAACAATATCCAATTAACAGACCTAATTACAACATCGACAAGCTCACCAGAGACAAGGCCAGCTTTATTAGCAAAGAAACATATAAAAGACTTTAGAAAAAACCCAGCACTAGACAAACAGCTCCACAAAAACAATCCATCCCTCTATTTCCAAATACCATATAAGCAATACCTCATGACAATAATACAACCACAGAACCAGCAGAAAAAACCAATATGGCAAGAATTCAATTCACCTGGAGTGAACAGATAGAAGAGAAGCAAAACATGCAAAACACAGCACACC